TGCTCGCAGTCAGACACTTGAGCACACGCGTACACCCAGACATCTTCGGGCTGCTATTGGATTGACTTTGAAGGTTCTGTGTGGGTCGCCGAGGCTGCATGTTTGAATCAGGTGGAGAAGCACTTCAAGGCTGGACGAAGTAAAGATTCTTGTTATTTTTTTCTCTCTCTCTCTTAAGAAAGGAAAATATCCCAAGGACTAATCTGATCGGTTCTTCCTTCATGTAAGTACCTCTGACATTTCTCCAGGAAATAGAAATAGCCGGGGTATTGTCTCTGAAATCTGCATCAGTTATATTCCACTGCACCGAATCTATCCCTGTGCCTTTTTGGAGGCTGAAGTTAAGGCTTGCTGGCCATTCTTTTCTTAGATTCCGTGATTTCCTTGTGTTTTGCTAAAAGTAACTTTTTTGATAGTCTTTTCTGTTTGCCATCAGTTATTGAAATCACTCCTGACTAGTTCTTGTCACACTAGTGTGTTTAAAGTTTCATGAAGTTAGTTCACATCATTAGCATGTTATGGTGGAGCGTGTGGAGCCTGTGGATTTTAATATTTCACAGAATGTTCTGTGACCTTGAAGTACATGCCTTAAGATTTAGCTGTTAGTTCACTATGCAAAGATGCTTCTGTGAGTCCCACCAAAGACTGATTATTTGCTTTGGGTTATGCTTCTGAGCCACTAAATCTTGGGATTAGTTTGAGCTAAAGCATGGCTGTCTGTCAGAGTATACCTTTGTGCATCTCCTTCCTTTACCAAAGTGCTGGCTTGAGAGAGGGCTTCTTAACTGGTGTGGACAAAAAGTAATACCCTGGCCATGGTAGTCTATACATTTCACTGTTCTTGTTGGGATTTCAGTATATGCACTGCTGTTCAGATCGAGTCAAATACATAACTGTTTAAAAACAAACAAGGTTAAGTCACTTCAGTTGCCTTCTCTTTGGACTTTGGATGAAAGTTACCAAACTCAGTGATAAAGTTTGGCACAAATGAAATATATATAGACATGGCACACTGTTTATTGTTTTATGAAATATTATGCAAGTATTAAAGTTGAATACTAGTGTTATCTCCTTCTCAGAATACGGCTATTCATTCTTAAAGGAAATTGTATGTCTGAAACACGTATGACTGTTCTAGGTCCAGTAGTTATCACTTTGGGGGAAAAGCTCTTTTTCTTCCCATTTTAAGAATGTGTGTCTTTTGTGTTAAATACCTTTATATGTAAATGCTGACAGTATAATAAGTAGAATCAGGCTCTCTGCCAGTTCTTTAACCGGTCCTCAGTGGAGAATTGCTTTGACATGAAGTGCGTTTTACTATTGTGCATCTGATACTAACTCTAATAGTAACCGTCTTGTGAAATGGTTAGTGCGTGCATATGTTTTCTAAGTGTTATAAAGGAACCCTGGCTACCTCATTATACCAGTCAAAGAGAGTGACCAGCCTCTTTTTCACTGGCACCTTGCAGTGGAATTGTGGTTGCAGAGTAAAGATGTTTATGTAGAGCATAATAACTCCAGTCCCTAGAGACTTGGTAGGACGTGGAAATGTGACCACCTGTGAACCCCATTTAACCTCTGTATTGCATACTAATTTTAGCTTTAAAGAGATTAACAATCTCCAAGTTGAAACTACATCTTGTTTAATTTTTAAAATGATGTCAGTTTGGTCCAGTCTCTGAAAATGTTCAGTATGTACCAATGTGGCACAAGCAGTTTCGGTTAAATATAATGCAGTTAATAAACCATATTATTGTCTTCCAGTATATGCATGAAGTTATTTATTAAATTAAAAGGGGTAGTTCTAAAGCAAGTGTCAGAACTTGACAGGTAAAATGACATGTACCTATCTAATGTCTTATCTAAAGAGGGAAAAAAACCTCTAAAATCAAATACCTCATTCTATTTGTAGGAAGATATATTTGGCTATATATTAGACTACTAACTCAATTCTAAAAGTTTTCCTCAAAACACATTTTAAACTCAATGTTTGTTTAACATATGGTCTTCTAGTCAAGTTAAGGAGACAATAGCTGGCAGTTACGTTTACTTTAGGTTTTTACTAAACTTTAGAAAATCTACTGTTTTTTCTAATGTGATTCACACAACTTTGGAGTATTTGTAGCATATTTTCCATACTTCTTACTAAAGACAGTATTTTACCTCATTCATTAGACTATTTACAGTCTGATTGCTGTGTATGTATGTGGAATATAGTGAAAGACAATATTAAAGATGTAACTTTTAGTAAATATTAATTTATTTCTTATGTTTAAATAACAAATGAGCCTTCAGAATAAAAAGGCAATTTTCCGACTTTCCTGAGCTGTTCATACTTTAAAAGTATGCAATTATATATATTAACTTTTCAGAACAAAAATATATTGATATTAAATATATAAAATTTAAATAACAAGAACCTTGCTGAACCTTGTCTCTTTTCTTCTTTGTAAACATATTCAGTTTTCAAAATTTAGGGTAAATGATTCATTCCATTAGGGAAAAGGGCTACCTAATGATTCAAAATTGAATCCTGAAAAAGCATCATGTTTTATATTTTTCAGATTTCTCTGAGTTTCTTCTCTGACCCTCACTTTACCAAATCAATAAATTGCATAACACTAAACACTACAACCATATCTTTCCCATAAGTGATTTATTGTATTTAAACTTCTCTAAAAAAAAACTGAGCTAAATAACTCCTTGGCATATGTTAACATTATATTTCAAAACTTTCTTCTGTTTATTGTAGTATATTTTGTGGTTTTATTTCCCAACTCTCATGTGGTATACTTTGAGTCTCTGAAATCTCAGAAAGTGACAAAAATGGGGAAATATCTGTGCAGCAACACTTGTGCTACATAATGACAAAAAAAATAGTTATTAAACAGAGAACCCTGGCTTCAGGGACATGATTCAAAACAATGTGGAAGAATTTTGTATGCAGTTAAGGATCACAGAGTAGACTTTAAAGAGATTATTAATAAAGTTCTACTTTTTTTTTTCTCTAAGCACATCCTTTTAAGAGAACACCACACAAATTAATATCTAAAAGTTACAAAAATGCACATATTCATTTTATGAATACAGTGATTGCCTGGACACAATGAGAAGATTTAATCACTGGTGCTCAGTCTGTGTGCTGTATGTGGAGGGTTGGGTGATTAAGATCCCCGTTCTCAGCACTGTACCTTAATCTCATGGGCGCGTGGACTGCCCTGCACTCAGTAAAGCCTGACTGTTCACCGAGATCTGTCATCTTTAGGAAATCAAACCAGATTACAGAGGCAATTCACAAAACCAGGAGCGACAACAGAGTCTGTGCACCTTACAAAAGGCGGATTACGCAGTTCACATGTTATTTTGATAGGTCAAAGATAAAAGCTGATTGTTGAGGAATGGCAAGACACTCCAATTTCAAATGATTGCTAGATAAGTATACCACGACCCTGTTGCTTCCTCATTATGAAGAGCCATTCAAACAGTAGAAAACTCAGTTTTCAAATGACAGGCTTTCAATAATGACATAAGAGAAAACATCTCCCTTTTATATATGTCTTCCTTGCTTGTATTTTAAGTTCCATCACTTCTTTATGAACAGATACCTAGTTCTGGCTGCTTATATGAAGCAGTTATTATTATAAGGCTTAATTGCAGTAGACATTTTCAGAGGCGTTGTAGAGAGCGCAAAACAGAATTTGCCAGAAATAAAACATACACTCATAGTATTGAGTAACCGAGCAGAAAATGCACAGTAGTCAATAACCATTATGTTATTCTGTTACCAAATAGGTTCTTCGTAAAAATGTGGAATTCCTTAGTTAATGAATCCATACGTTTGAAATATATCTTGATAGATGTTTACTGGTCAGATTATATCTATTTCATGAATGTTTTGTAAAGGTCATTCTTTACAACAAAATATGAAGTTTTCAGAGTTTATTTCAGAGAATAAAGTTTTGGTTTACATAATAACATTTTGAAAACCCCAACTTCTTACATATCCAACTCTACAGTAATTTCTTGCTTCTTTAAATATTGAAGTCCTTTTTTCACCCAACTGATGCCTCCTAGTGTTTCGCACAATAAAACACTAATGAGTCACCCATAATGTAAACATTGCATTTTCATTGCCTACATCTTCTGTGATACATAAAATTAATATTTATGTGTTTAATTTTCTGTGCATTATTATAGTGAGATAGGAAATTCCAGTGAATGAAATGTTTCATCTGAGTAGATTTGTGGCACACACTTGCAGGGTTTCTTTGACCATAACAATATCTTACTAAGTTTTAATAAGTTTATTACCTTAAGCTCCAGTTCATATATTCACTGTTTATATTCCCTCTTATTCCAAGTGGAAAACACAGGCAGAGTAGCAGAGCTTCCATTTTGTAGGCCTGGAAAATACGTAGCTGAGTTCATCCGCAAAAGCCTGACCAACAAATTGCGAAGGGACTAACCGTTTCATTTAAACACTGAAATATCTCAAAAGAGATAGAAAATTTCGCCTACTCTGTGTCTTCACATTTGCAAATTTCTGTGCAAAAGTGGAATAAAAAAGAGGATTTAGCAAAATAAAAAGTAAAGATAAATGTACAGATTCCCACAAATGTGGATTGTATCACTTTATTAGAAAATCACAATAAAAAAGCTTGCTTTGGCAGCATAGTATTCTACCTAATAGAAGGAAAGCTTGTTGGAAAAACTTCTTATGACCAGCAAGTTGTCGAGGTCGAGGTCGAAGTCAGTGGATACCAACTCTGGTGTGAGTTTTCTGTCATTAGATGGTGAGTGTAGACTTTCAATGCTTTCCCACTTAAATGATTTCAGACAACTTTCTGATTCTACTTACAAAAAATAGAGACTTTAGTTTCTGAATATTTATTCTTTAAAATGTCTATGAAAGGCAGAAGGCTTTCCCCAATGGGTCTGAAATTCAAAAGATGCACCTTAAAGCCTGTAACATTTATGGGCCTCCTCCTGAGTTGCCATACCACACACAAGTGCACAAAAACACTCACAGATTGCTTCTAACACAAGTGTTCTGAGCGTCCAGGCATAGACCCTAGACTGAGGCTGAACTGAGCATAGTTCATTTCCCTTACCTGTGTATGCGTCTCTTAGTTTTCCTGATTCAAAACATGTGCATTTTAACGATATTTGCCTCCCATTTAAGATTTTTCTAATCTGGTCAATAATACAGTGTTATTACAATTCTGTGCATGTTGGACACATTTCAAAGAATGTTAGGGGGTGTGTTCCTTTCGTTCTAGGAAGCAAACATGTAGAAAGGGGTGGACCTTTCCCACAAGAGCCACATTTCTTCCCTTGGAGAATTGAAGCAAATATGCAGTATGTAAGTGAATAACAGCATGAGAAAGAAAATAATTTCTAATGGTCTGCTATAGTTAGTGAGCAAAGGAAACTGTCAGGTTTTTCCTAAAAGTGGTTCCTATTGATAACCTTTCTCACACTGAATGCTGAAAAAAGTCTTTGAGAATTTTGTAATTTTAATATTACTTAACTTCTATAAAGTGCACTACAACTAATTTTGCTCAAAACAAGAATTCAGTAGTAACTATTTTATAGATGTATTGAGGCATAAAGAAATCAAGAGAGCTAAAAGCACCCATTCCCTACCTTTCTTAAGAAGTAGATAGCTTCGGTGTTCTTACACTAGTTTTTGTCCGTGCAGGAAAAATAAAGAAAATTCTATAACAAAGAATACCATTGTAGAAAAATAAGATTATAAAAAAGATTATCCAATATAGCATTATCTTAAATTTCTTTGGTATTATTTTAACATTAACTACAAAAAGGAAAGTTATATTCCTAATAAATATGGAAATTGTATGATACCTGTTTTGTACGTGTTTTTGGGTTTGAGGTGATAACATGAGTAGCATTCATTTGTCATCTTAATGCACGTTGTCATTATATTGCCTGAGTTAAATCTCTGTGTTTATTTTAAAAATACAGCCAGTGTAAACAGCATGAAGATAATCTTTTGAGGACATTATAAAGGAAATCAGTGACATTACAAGAGATTAAAAACAGCAAACCTATTACAGGCAGAATTCTGCAGGAATCATTACTCTTAAATAATGCAGACATTATAGAGACTTTATTAATTCTTAATGTTGTAAATTTGCAACGACTGGAGCAATGTTGTTCTTCTTGCAAGTGGTCGCAATTCATGTAGAATGACAGTGCCGATCTTCTAGCAATAATTTAATTGAAGTACCTTAAACTTGTTTTCAGAGACTGGAGAAACTGATCTCTGAAGCAGTCCCTGGTGAGAACCTGCTTTTTACAAATAGTATCCTGAGTGTGGTCTGGTTTTCCTCTTGTATCTTGTTGTCATAGATAAGATGCACATGAAGAATTCATATAAATTGTTCTCGGAAATAATAACCAATGGATATGGTCTTTTGATAGAATGCAAAGTGTTTTTTTTTAAACAGCTAACAACTACCTCTCTTTTTCACACCTCTGTAATTCTTTCAGCAAGTTAGAATGATAGCAAGAGAATGCGTCTTCCCCCGAACCCTGAAGATAGGCAGCTTTGGCTTAGATATGCTTATTTAATTGCAAAATTGGAAAATAGATTCACTAATGTAAATAAGTGGGGACAGACAAGGGAATTAGTCTACTACTTAATAGAGTAAACATGACTTTTTTTAACCTTCTAATTAATTGTTGACCATTGCATGAGGTATACAACTAAGGCTTATTATGGAAAGCTGGTAATATTGCTTAATATCATAGGAGAGATTGGGATTTCTGTAAAGTAATTTTGAAAATGTGATTATTTAGCAGAAATATTCACTGGAGCATTTCATTTTTAGAAATCATGGTCACACAAGGAAGCCTTTATAGGACCGACTACCTAATTGCAGACAAAAATCTCTTTAATGAATGAACACACACACAGAAGAACGCATACTTTAAAAATATAATAGCCCTATATTTTTCAATTTTTTTGCCACATTCTTTATATCTGAACAGAATGTGCATGTCTAAGCAGATGTTTTAAGTTATATCCTTCATGTAGGTGAGCCTGTAAGTGTACCATTTAACTTAAATGGTTTTGTGGGAAGGTAGTTTGAGGAGTTTAAAAAGGAGAAAAAAAAAACCCTCCAGTTACTATAGTTTCAGCTCTTTCTTTTTAAAAACAGTAATTACACTCAGGATAAAGAAAGAAAAATAAACTCTTTTAATTCTTGGTAACATCCACAGTTTCTGAGGCAGCGCTCTGGTGTATTTTTATTTCTGAGCATGCAGGGCAGGTACTGGCAGCACAGCTACAAAATGAAAACTTCCTGGCTGCAGACCAGATACAGTGCACAGTGCCACATCAGAAACTTCCCCTCTTCTGTCTCCGAGTGATTTCAGCCCGAAGTCATGTCCTTTTTTCCCCTTGCGTAGGCTCAGGACCGGAGGGCCTTCTTCCTGGGCAGTCGCTTTGGGAAAGGAAAAGCATAACGTTTCCCTTCTTCAACTTGAAAACTCTGCTTCTTAAATCACTGAGACCTTAGCTGCAAAGTGGATTCAGTATGTTTCCTTTTTCTTCCCATATAGCCGTTTAGAATGCATAAAACAATAGGTATACGATACAAAATGAGCCCTCTTCCCCACCCCCCTCCTCCAGCACATGCAGGCCCAATCAGATGTCTGTACTTTATTGTTTTGCAGAGAAAAATGTAATGGTTTCTTCCCATTGAAGCCCGTGCATTATATTCCAAATATGTTAGGTCATTTTGTGATGCAAATTAACGTTGAGTGGTTTTTGTACTTGTCTCGGGAAATAGCAATGTTCCACCACACTATGTGGCACTACAGTAATTTTTTTATTGATAAACATTCACACTTTAAATGATTACTAGGTCAAAATACAAAGGAAATATGGCTCTAGGTTTCAGATTTGGTTTACGCTTTTCATTTGAAAGATATGGTGTAAGTAATGCAGTTATTATCCCCATGCAGAATAGATCAACTTCTAAATATCTGCATTGATATTCTTTGCATTTGAAGACATAGTCTGAAAACTTGTACTTCTTCTTATAAAGTTAAAAAAAAAGTGTTAAAACCAGTCTTTAATTACTAGTTACATTTTCAGTCGTTACCAATGTGATTGTTAAAATTTCTATTAAAAAATAATTCCTAGCTGCCATGACTCTTTTCAGTCAGTAGTAGAATTCTTATTTGTGTGAGGTGTAATCAAATTATTGCTAGCACATGTTTCTAAAACTAGCCTTCTCTTGTAGAAATGTATTAAATGGGAGCCTTAAGTGCAAAGTGTTACTGCGTAATATTTGTTCCAACTTTATTTTTAAACTAAATTATTGATTTAACAGTATACAAATAGCATATAAATGTTAGTGTATTCATTAACCCACCAAACCAATTATTAATTGCCTACATAAAATTTACCAGGTCAAAACAATGGTTAAATGTAACTTAATTTTATTTCTTCTTAAACTAAGATAGATTGAAAAATTGATTTTAATTATGTTTATGTATCAAGCAACTATTTTTCTGTGAATGCAAATGTTTCCTAATAAAGTGTTAAGAAATTAACAGAACATAGATCTTAAAAGGTAAAAGGTAGCTCAGAGGAGTATGATCACAATGGCCTATTCTTGCCTTAGGTGTTATGAGCAAGAGCCCTACTCCTGGAACACTTTCAAGGCCCATTAGCAAGAGGAAAAAATGTTAAATTTTTTTTGCATATATTAATATACATAGGAGTCAGTAATTTTTTGACATTTATTTCTTACAAAATTAGACATTCTGTTTAAAAATTCAGATTCGACCTTTAAAACTATGCTTTTATTTAGGATATGGTAGGAGACTTCTTTATCTTCTTGGAATTCTCCTGAACTGTAGGATAATTTGAATCATCACCACTTCAAAAATATTGTTAGACACATTTGTAAAGTTTCAGTTGTTTAATATGTATACTGGAAAAATTTTTAATAGAAAATGAACTGTTTTATATTATAAAATTATGCCTGATTAAAACGTGAACCTCTTGGAGTTTCCTGAAGTAGATAATTCTCTAGGCAAGAAATTTAAAAAATTTTAAACTGTTAATCAGTAAATGACCACGTACTTTTTTAAGTTGCCTGATTCCCATTCACATCTGAAGAGCCTTAGTAAATTGTTGGATGATCTTTAAGTAAAGGTTTTGTGGTCCAGAAAGTAGATCTTTCTACCCTTCTTCTGTTGCATTTAATATAAATATGTTAAAAAGGTATGAATCCAGACCTAGTTTCATTATGAAGATGAACAAACATGGCTATTAAAAATAAAAAAGTGTATCCTTTGGTTGATTTCTAAGTATTTATCAAAAGACCACTTAGAGTCTGTCTAGGTTATAGGTTAAGGAAATAACTTCGACTACCTTTTCCTTTTCTTTCACCTTTGAGTTTTTCTCCCCTTACATAAACCAAAAAGAAAATCTCATGATGACATTAATTAATAGCTTAGCAAAGGGCCAGATAAAATACTCAATCCCATTGCTTGTTTCCATATGGCCCTTTGGTTGAAATGAATGCACAACGTCCCTTCTAGAACTATGTGAGCTTTCTTGAGTTAGTGTGAGCACTATGTGATTTTTTTTGCCTTCTCTCATTTTTTAGCTTCAAAAATCAACGAATTCTTGACTTTACCCTTCTTTTTCCCCAAATTTTTATTGGTTTTGGATTCTCTCCTGTGTTCTCTTCTTGCTTCAGAATATTTGGTATTGTGAGAAATCAAGTGCACTTTTAACTTGTTTTGACTACACATGTGAGATCATAGAATTGTTTCAGGTGTTAACTTATCTCCTTACTCTTGAGAGCTTGATGTGGTTCATCACAGCCCAATGCCATGTCATGAAAGAGCTCTAGACACTGATTTTGAAGCAGCGAAAACTACAGAATATCTTTATAAGGAACTGCCAACAGCTTTCGAGTCAGTGGCTGGTCCATCCATAGCAAAAATGCACAGCATTATGAAGTCTCAGGAGATGGGACAGTTGTTGGACTAGATGAAGCAGATTATGGCTTTGATTGTATTTGGTGCATTCTTGGGCCAAATCTCCAAGGGGTGTGTGTGTGTGCGCGCGCGCGCGTGTGTGTAAAGGGAGAGATGAGAGGGGAAGAGCAGAGACTTAAGAGACAAAAAGCCTGAGAGGATGTGGATGAATGCAAGACAAAGAGAAAATCAGTTCTCTTGATTTGCAAGCATAAAGAGTTTGAAGACCACATTGCCATATTAATATCATTTCTTTAATTATACGTATGTGTGCTATTAGACAAACAGGCCCATAAGCAATAGAAAGTAATGTTTAAGAGCAAAGGCCAAACTGAGTTCAAAATCCAGCCTTCCATTTACTGGTTAGTGGCTTTAGGTAGGTAATTTAACCATCAGAAAGCCTTGGTTTCAGAATCTGTTAAATGGGTGTGATAATACCACCCACTTTTAGAGTTATTGTAAGGATTAAACAGGATAATACGTATAAAAACCAATGTAAGTGGTAAGTAATTAGTAAATTATTATAATAGCACTACACTGTATTTTAATTATTTTATCTTCCTGCCAGTGATGATCCCTTAGAAATCCTTGGTGGAATAATTATTTTGAACTTTCTTTTTCAATAGTGCTTTCATACCATTAAAATTGGGTCACTTTCGGGGCAAGTCTCTAATTCTGATGTTATGTTGGGTCAATGCTAATGATCGCTAGGTACAGTATACTCCAAGAAAAGCAAAATCTTTCACAGATCAGATGTTATTAAATATCACGCTATTTTTAGAACCAGAAATAGAACCAAAGAAACAAAATAATTTCATCTATGAGTTTTAAAAGTCTTTTATTGAAAGTTCTGAATTCCAGATAGATTCTTGCTTTTTAGTTTTAATAAAAGTTCAGTTTGGAGGAAGTGTTTGAGGTACACAGAGTTATTATGTGGTTTTAATAGTGAAAACAGCCTCAGTAAGAATTCTAAACTTTTTTTCCTTAGCATTACCCACTTTGAAGGATATATTAGTATTCTTTGTTTTTCTTATTGTGCAGTTTTGATTGTATGTGAACATAAATTATGAAGAATGAATGTCATTTTACTTATCTTTCCATTTCTTCATACTCTTGCATGTAATTGGTATACTATAGATATTTGTTGAATAAATTAATTATATTGACTTGTAAAGAGAAAATACATTTTTCATTGGAATAGTTTAAAAAAACTAAATGGCACTCCTGCCATCCATTATTTCCCCAGATTTGAGGGATTGTTCATTTTAATTATAGTTTATCAACTTTGAGATGAAGAACAAATGAACTTATCTTAATTTGAGTATTTTTCTTTATGTGAGAAGAAATACAAAGTAGTCTAGAAAATGCAGAATTTTACGTGAGGATTACACAAATAAGCGAATTTAGGTAAGATGTGGATGAAAGTAGGAATATATCTGGTCTCAGAGTCTATTTACCACATTTTTGTTCAGATTTTACATTTATGTAATTTCTCAAAGAAATTCGTATTTTGGATGACAGGTAGTGTCTATGAGGCTGCCCCTTTTAGACAGCCTGTGGAGTTGCAACCACTTGAAATTATTCTCATGCTCTTGAATAACTCCCCTCCGGTGTGTACCTCGCATTTCAGCTTTCTTTTCCAGCCCTGATTTAATGCTTGGCTGAAGAGTGTTCAGTGCAAGGAATACTTGCAGAGTGGACTTCCCTATGGTAAAACAGCATGGACAGCTCCCAACACTGCAATCAAGGATGCCTCTAAAAGCTTTAATTTAAAAATAATAATAATAATAATAAGTCTGCATGAAGATGATGGAGCCCTCTAAGGCACATGGGCTTAGAGAATTATTCCCATCTGCAACCCCCTCCCCCTGCTTAGTAGCCCTTTCCAGGGTTATGATTACTGGAAAATGGCTGTTAATCACCAGATTTTTTTTTTGACTGCAGCTGCTTCAGTCAGACTACTAATCTATTAAACAACTTCGTCTCCAGTTTAAAATTTGTATTGTATACTGTATAGAATAAATTTTCATTGTAATCAGAGCATCCAAGAGAACTTCCTGATATGATTTATAGAAGCACATTTGTTTTTATGTATGGACCTCTGGTGCTACTGAGCCAACTGTTTAAACAATACTGTGGTTGATCAGCATAAAATCAAATATTGTAGCACTATTGAGTGCAAGCAGCATTTACAATAGTCACATTTGCAGAATATTTGAATTGTGGCATCTCTAGCACTTGGCAATATAATAGCCACATAATTCAAAACTTAACCCAGATATTTAAAATTTGACTTGAACCTGAAATGGTTTTTAGAAGTTTAGATTCTCATACCAGACTGTGGTAGAGTGGTTTGGCCTCTTTTTCTACCCTAATGCTTATTATATTTGCCATAATTTGAAGAAATAGTCCAAAACCTGAATCAATATTTAGTGCTGGGAGAGGACAAAACAGCTCTGATTTACAAAGACCCTTTTAAAACACATTCTTGTATGTAAAATTGACAGGCTACAAGAGGTGCTTGGATGAAGTTCATCATGTTGGAAAGAATGTTTCAATTAAAGTTGAGCACTTTCTCTTCCAGGTCTTTTTTTCTCCATTTTTTATTTGCTGTGCCAAGGTATCCATGTGCGTTTTTCCACTGTCATCTGGCTCATTCCCAGCAGATGCACACAATCTGTTCTGCTGTCACTAACAGGGTTCGGTTTATGAAAAGAATGTGTCAGAACATGCCACTATAGTCACTTTTACAGGTTTTTTTTTAAGAGTAACTGAGAATATATGCATTGCCCTAGTTTTATTGTACTCAGCCTTTAAGAGATTTCTAAGAAACCTTTATAATATTCGTAGACCAAAAGCTTTCTTCCAAACATACTTTTGACCAAATATTTGCTTTCTATTAAAAATAAAATTTTAGAAGTTCACAAAACATCTTTAATGATGAACTGAATGTATTGTATTTAAATGTAAGAGTAGATTTTTATAGGAATGTTTAAAATAAACCCAAGATTTTTATGAAAAATAATTTTCAATTATAAAATTTACTTCATAATCATTAAATACATATCTCCTACTGAAAACAAACCTGCTTTCCTACTCAAATCAAGGCTTTATTTTAAAAAATAATTGTGATATACTACTTAGCATCAATTATTTGACTTGATCGATAATATTGGTTTCCTTAAGTCTTCGACTGACATCATTACATTAAATCAAAAGCAGTTAAACTATCAAATTCATCCTTATTCTGTATAAAGACATTTGATAAATTGTACTGTCAAATCATATAACATTTTTCTTTTGTAGTTGTTCACATTTTAAAAGCATAATAGGTAAATAATTCTGAGTTTAATTTTTATTTATTAAGGTGTCTCTATGCCTATTAAATATTCTGAATAAAAATTCAGTTTTTAGTTGTTTTCTTCATAGAAAACAATTTCTCTGGCTTTATACGAATTATTTAAAAAGTGAGCATTAGAAATGTGGAAGTAATGAGCTTAATAATGTAGTAGATTGTGAAGTTTAAGCATGTATAGTAAGTACATACTGCATAACATATGCACATACAAATAAATAATGGACACATTTGCATTTTGTATACAGGTTATGGTATTTAAGTATCTCCCGGAATAGAAGATTTTTAAATGTACTTAAGTGCTAATTTTAGATTTTTAAAATGATTTTTGATATGAAGAACGACTCAAAGTCCAGAAAAACTGAACATTTTTCATCAAAGTTATAATTCACATGAACTAAAAATGAAGATTCAGAAACTATTAATGGATGACCACTTATACAAATTAAGCATTAATTATATATATTTAAATAGGAAAACGAATTATTAGATTTCTGCATAAGGAAAATTTGTGAAGTACATTTTAAAATGTAATTTATGTCAGAAATTTTTCTGATTATGAAACTGATATATCGTCACATAGACAACTCAGGCAATACATATAAAGAGACATTTTTGAAACAACTTTGCAAATTTAAGCAAGAAAATAATTTTCTTAAAGCTCATTGGTTCTGTTGTCACATCATATGGATGAATTGCTAAATTATCTTTCTAGAATTGTATCAAATGATTGTTATAGTTTTTGTTACTTTTTTTAAAGTTTCAAGAAATAATGATGA